TTCCTCCAGAATTCTGCAGAATTGGGTTAATTTCCAAGGGGTCACTGATGGCTACTATGTATTTCTTTATATCATTTTACCTATATCTTAGAATATTAGCCCATCTAGATGTAAGGTTACGTGCTGAGATATGGGAATTAGTCCGGAATTAAACTGGAATTCCGGAATTAAACTGGACACTGTTTGGTATGTTGAGGGGAAGTTATGTGAAGTGTCTTTGCCAAGGGCACAGTATGGGGTATGTCGGTGGCATTGAAAAACCCAGGACCCATGGGTTCCGATACGAATGCCCTACCATCCAACACAACAAATGAAAGACAAACTTGTACATAGCAAGCGCCACATTTTCTTCTGCACCACACTGTTAGACTTTCAATTTCTTGCACTACCACCACCAATCGCATGAGGGCTGGACATCATGCCCCCCATGAGGTGCTAAAATGCCCTGTAACAACATACATTGTATAGGTGTCATTACCTGCCCGGCCCAATGAGTGCTGGACCTTTTGGCCTAATCGGTTGGTGAGCTGGTTGTGAGCTGCCACGCCGGCGCGGGTTCGATCCCGGGGGTCAGAGTCAACTTTGCAGTTACTAGTACTCCTCTCTCTGTGTTAGAGTACATATCCAGTACGTGTACGTGTCCAGTACGTATACGGCATACATGTACTAGAAGTAGGGCTGGGTACCGGTTCAGAAAATTCAGGTCCAGGTCCGGATCAGGTTCAGAGGATCAGGTCCAGGTCCGGACCTAAACCTGGACCTAATATAGTGAAGTACAGTAGTAGGAGCAATTTACCTGAGTACGTGTATGCCTTGATGATATCTATCGCTCGGTACTACCACAAACCTTTGGTCCGTGAACTTTTTTGTCAACCTAAAACGGAACCCACTGTTACAGAAAGAGACAAACATGGGTTAAGGCTTAACTAGTTTAATTCATGGTTATTTTTTTCACTTGCCATGACCAGATTACCTAAAGATGTCTGTACAATCTACCAAAATGTACTCTAAAATTAACAGATATGTACATCGGGTCCGATGATCAGGTTTTTGCGTTTAGGTTTTTTGGACTCGGTTCTTGAATGTTGTTCAGGTCCAAACAGGTCCAGCTGAACCGGTACCCAGCCCTAACTAGAAGATTTAAAGAATACTCACCGCCAGCCTCTCCACCAGCATAGTCAGCTCCTCCTGTAGCAGTTTGTCATCTTCAGACTACAGGAAAAGAATATATCCAGTCATTTTTTTCTTTTTCATAAATATATGGAAATACTATATTATTATTAATTCCGTAATATTTTAGCATTATATCATATACCAAATAGACTCCTATTAAATTGTTATTTTGTATTAAAACACTGTAATATACCCTACTTCTCAAAGAAAGAAGGACTTTTGATCATTCTCTTCAGTTTCACAAAAATTAAGGGTACAGCATGATATGCAGAAAACAGTAACCTGAATCGTTGCACCTAGTTTAACTTCATCTGCCGTCTATCTATCAGTATGCCAATATATACATCTTTATAGAAGTTACTTGGATACTTGTCCACAATTTCACGTATTTGTTCCAAAATGTGTGCAAAGCTGAAATAAAATCCACATGCGAACTTCACAAAAACATCAGAAAAGACCCCACATGGGGGAGGGGGGCATAATGACACAGCAATCAACACAACGGTATGAGCGCTTCACAGAAAAACACCCAAAGAAACCTTACATTTAACCGAGCAAATTAAGAAGTCTAAGACATGTCCTCACCAGTTCTGGCTCCTTCTCTTCCTTCTCCTTCTTGTCTTTCGTCTCTTTCTTCTCGTCTTTTTTCTTCTCCGTTTCGGGAGTTTTTTTCTTGGTGTCCGCCATGGCGTTCCGAGTCGTCAGTGCGCGTGCGCGCGGCGCGGGGCAGCATGGGAGTTTCGGGTCCAAAATGGCGGCGCCCATGGAAGATGAAGATCCCGTCAACTCGGACGACTTTTATTCGCTTCTAAACTGTCCCAGAACGGTGAGACCGCAGGGTTTGGGGGTGGGAGAGCTCGGGAGGGTTTTTAGGAAAAGATACAGTTATTTGCGATGTCTATTCTTTCTCCATAGGTGCATGCACAAATAGGTTTTGGAGTGAGAGGTCGCCTAAGGCATAACGGTTGTGTAACGAAATTATACCTACTGAGTACGTGATGTTGTGAGTGTGGGAAATTGTGTACTTTGCTTGATTGGGACTAAATGACAACAAATTATATCATGTAGCTGCACAGCTAGCAAGGACGCTCAGCACTAAAATGTTACCTGTGTAGAATCCACCATCAGTCAATTTTTTATGGGAAATTCTGGACGTTGCATATGAAGTGGGAGGGGTGGGGTGACGAAATCCACTGGAATATCTCTTTCTGTACGTGGTACCTGTATGTTTTACAAGTGGTAAGCTTTGCCGCAGCTTTGCCATAGAGAGAAAACTCTGTAGATCTTGGGCACCCCTGCCCATTGAGTAGCCAAAGCCAGTCACCAGCCAGCCACAACAACCTGCACTGTATCCTAGGATGATCCTCTGACCCCGTGCCTGAGCCCTCAACTTAATGAGGTTAGGCACCAGGACGAAGAAGAAGAAGAGATCAGTCCGTAATAAGGAGCTATCCCAACCCAACAACGGACAAACAGACAAACAAACCCACAGCTCTGACACCCAAAACAATACTTCCGTATACCCGGAAAGAAATCATGACTGATGTTTTGATCAGTAAACAACTGCAGGTTTACTGTATCTTGACATCAGGCAATGCACTCACAAGTCCATGTGTGGCACAGTACTAGCACTGCAGGCAATCCTCAGACCACAGCAATGGTTAGCCGTAGGGCTGCGTACCTAAACGTAACATCAGGTACAGGTACAGGTACCGGTACAGAGGTTTAGGTACAGGTCCGGACCTGTACCTGTACCTGAACAGTTTGACAAATTAACACGTGTTCTTCACTTTTTCAATCATGACACAGAAACAATAATAAAGTGTTGACAACTTGTCAGTATCTTCCAATCACAACCCTGGATCAGCCACACTCTCGCGATGTCTCGTGAGACTGAGGATCTCAAATCAATCGACGGTGTTTACGTCTTTTCCAGTGCTAATTTTTCGTCTTTGTGGTAGGATTTACCTATCTTTAGTCATATACATGGTGTAAACTAGCTATTTACCCGCCATCATCAGAAGTACCGAAGGCTAGGTGACCGACAGAACAACATCCTCACCACGAGACTACGTCTTGACTGGTCCCAGCTGAACTCTACCCTCGCCAAGTTCAAACTCACCTCTCGGAGCTGCAGCTGTGGAGCCACGTCTGAGACGGTTGCACACTTTCTCCTCAGCTGCCCTCTGTACGAGGACGCACGGCAAACACTTGCCACCGAAGTATGTCGCCTGACAGATCGACCCCTCTCTACAAACATCCTTCTCAACGGTTATCCAGGTCACGACCCTCTTACAGATCAAAACCTTCTGGCCGCTCTTCACACTTACATTTCATCAACAAACCGATTCTAATTACATAACTCTTAGTCCTTCCATCTATTCCTACAACATTGTAAATATTGAAAACAATATATGTTTGTAAATATTATATATTTTGAATGACCTCTGGCCTCCTACCATACTGATTTATTATTACTTTTTTGTATACATTGCATTAGTCTAGGTTATGGATCGTAGGGTATGTGAGTCGTACTTTATTGTGTTATGTATGTATGTATTTCACAACGTGGGGCCCGACATCAGCTCAGCTGCCAGGGCTTCCATTGTATTGCACTGTATTGTTTGCAATTTAAATAAATAAAATAAAAAAAAATAAACTAGCTATTTCGGTATATACTCGTTACTTCATGATCCGGTATTTTGGACCTGTACCGAAACGATTTTTACGGTATTGGACCGGTACAGTGTACCGGTCCGCAGCCCTAGTTAGCCGTGGAGACTCTTGATTCGGGCTTACATTGCATTACGTAAGCCCGAATCAAGAGTCGCCACGGCTAAGCAATGGTTACATTATGTGCATACTGTATGTTCCTGTAACACTCAACAATATCATTCATGATACCACCAGGCTAGTCAGGATGAGTTGAAGGCAGCCTACAGAAGACTGTGTATGGTGTACCATCCTGACAATAACCTACTAGTACATGTACATGTATGTTCCCCAGGCTAGCTAACTCTAACCTACATGTACATGTATGTTCCCCAGGCTAGCTAACTCTAACCTACATGTACATGTATGTTCCCCAGGCTAGCTAACTCTAACCTACATGTACATGTATGTTCCCCAGGCTAGTCAGGATGAGTTAAAAGCTGCCTACAGAAGACTGTGTATGGTGTACCATCCTGACAAACACAGGGAGGAGGAGGACAAACAGATAGCCGAAAAACTCTTCAACCAAGTCCACAGAGCTTATGAAGGTTAGTTAAAATCATATCTTTATCATAAGCTACTACTGTACTAGTACTTTACAGTTTGAACTGCACATATGCTCAGGTAATATGTCATCAAAGTTGAAGACCCCTGCCATTACATTTGGAATTGGCCTGGTTCTATCCACTAGGTGTCTGAAAATGCACCGGAAATAAAACCTTGATTGTATTACATGTTTTAAATTAGCTATATAATACTAGCTGTAAAAAGCGTCAAAAGGTTTGTTAGAAGGTTTTGCCCACATCCTTGTATTCATAAAAAATGAATTTTCGAGCCCTGCTCTGCTAAGGGAATTGCTAAAGATTATCCAAATATTAACCAAAATATTCGTTTATTTCCCTAGTTCTGAGTGACCCCCAGCAGAGGACGATCTATGACATCTACGGTAAGAAGGGTCTGGATGTGGAGTGGGACGTGGTGCCGCGGACACGCACGCCTCAGGAGATACGCGAGGAGTACGAGAGACTACAGAAGGAGAGAGAGGAGCGCAGGTTACAGCAGAGGGCTAACCCTAAGGTGTATAAACTGTTCATGGTTTGAAGTTAAATAGCTAGCTGCCGCTGTGCTGCATGCCTGTGAAGCTGGTGTGTTACGCCAATTTTTAGGGTGTTTTTCAGAAGTGTGTGTGTGTGTGTGTGTGCAGTATGGTGCATTTTAGGTACATGTGCATGAAAGTAAGCCCCATAGATTGGCAATAGATTGATCCTGACTGCCCATCACAGTTTGGTATAGTGGCCTTAAAAATGGTTCTTGAACAACCTGTTCCACCATACCATCCACTGTTGAAAATTGTCATCAATAGATAAATAAATGGATCAATAAAAGTTCCCAACATCTCCAACTCTTGTCAATCATGAATGTAATTTTGTTAGTAAAAGTTTTAAACACTTGTCCCCAGGGCACCATCAGTGTGAAAGTTGATGCTACTGATGTCTTTGATCCGTATGATGCTTATGAAGAGGAAGAAAGGTAAGAGCTTGATGATTAGATATCTTAGTTTATGTTCAAAGTTTTACATCGTACCTTCTGTTATTTATTCATTCACATCATATCATGAATGTCAATGTCAAAAGCCATTCTGAATGGTGTATAACTATAAAAATCTGCTGTCACAACTACATGTAAATCCAATGAACATATACCAATGCCAGTATCAATATAAGCTGAATCTGAATATCTGTAATACAAACATAAATGAATGAATTAGCAAATGAATTTTTGTACGTATATATCCCAAAAGGGGTAATTACAGGTCACGGCAGAAGAATTGTTTACATTCAAATACATGTATTCAAATAGATACAGATAGATCAAGCCACAGTAAGTTTTCATGAATCATAATACAGTATTCCATATTGTTGTTCCCATCCGGGCTTGACCTTCCCAAAGACGACTGTTACATTCTGTCCTTGGTAGTTTTCCATTCCAGTTGACCCTATGACCTTGAACATTTGTCTCCAGTGACCTTGGAATACAGGAGTGCACCTCCCATGGATAACTCAATTAACCTTCTTCCCTTCCCCCTGACCTCTGATGACCTCCAGGCACCACCATGTCTGCCCTGATGTTCCACACTGAATCACAAATAGATGTTGGTGGTTTCAAAACTCATTCTGACTGGAGTAAAGAAAAATGGCATCCTGTAGTGATTGATATCATTAACTTTAAATTACATTGGTCAATGTAGTTAGATGTATTACCAGAATCTACATTGGTCATTTGATTCACTTTCAAGGACACTATAAAGGAACCACAAGTAGCATCTGAAATTGCTGATCATATAAACTGATTGTGGGTTGACCAGAGGAAAATGGCCTCCTGTGACATGCCACTGCCATAGTGTGTGATTAAAATGTTGGTGATTCCTGGCACTGCAACTTTTTCCATAACTTTCATGGTTGCTTAAAAAATTATAATATATGGTTAATATTTTGAGATATGTTATATGAGATATGTTCAATAGCTCTGAAGTTCCTGTATGTGTGTATTTTCAAGTTCCAGTCATAATCATGAATAATACACAAGTCTGCTCTACATGTACTTTCAAAATTATTTTCAAAACTAACCTCATACAACTTAGCCACATTATATGCAAAAAATCTGCAGACCTCAGTACAATTAGAAGGTTAAACTTAAAATGTGTCTCTTCCTCAGGAGGTTTCCTCGAGTTGAGATTTCCCAGATGTCCATCTCCCAGTCTGTGGACATGCCTCTCACCAGTAAGGACACGGCCGCCCTGTCCGGCAGCCTGCAGTCCCAGAACGGGATGGGAGGGGGCACTGTTAACTGTTCCCTGCGCAGGATCACGTCAGACCAGGGATGGGCAGAGGTGTGTGTGTGTTATCATATATTAGCATGAAGGCTCATCTGTGTAATTATTAAATCCCATAGTGAAATTTTATGAGCAAACACAGCTCACCTCAAATTTTTGGTTCCTCTTCCATCAACTTTCTTCAGGAGGGATGATTCTATGGCTCCGAGAACATAATGAAAGTATTGACGTGTGCATATCTTCTTTTAAAATTATAGTTTAGTTGTTTTCTAGTTCTTAAAGTGTTTGCTAAATAATAAAGCCTTTTTGACAACTCCTCTGGAACAGATCCGGTAATTTTCAATATTTGTCTCTGAAAGTCTGATTCACTTTTTTATGGCAATGTTTGTGTGAAGAGTTGTTTAGAGGATTTTCTTGTTTTTCCCATTCCAGTTTGAAGTTGGAGCAGGAGAGGGGCTGTTTTGGGGCCTGAAAGGCTACAGAGTTATATCTAAAGGCTGGTAAGGCGTTATGGTTTTATACATATCAAAACAAGAAATCAGAGCTCTCATCTAATACTTGAATTATGTTTGTTCTAACTGCAAACACCTCCTTGCCATGAGAAATTAACTAACTGTACCATGTTGTTTGTCATTTTACAGTTGGGGCCAGGTATCAGGTGTGCTACAGTCCACACCCAGGGGATTCAGACCTGGACTAAACACAGGTAATTTTTTTTTGTACTTCTGGGTACAGTTAAAGTAGCTAAGCTGTTGGTGTGTGTGTTTCTTGTTGTTGGCAGGTTGACAGCGCATGGATGGGAAAAGATTGACTTTATTTGGAGCCACAATTTGAGCATTTTAGAAAAATGCACCATCAATCAGTTAACAAATGTTTCATTTGTGTAAAATGTTTCTCCCTCAGTTGTTTGTCGACAGTTGGATAAGAACACGGCAGGTTACCTGGTGTGGAGGTGGGGCATGGCCTCTAGTATCAGCACTCAGGTCGTCAGGACAACTCCTGCTAGCTCGTTTAGCGCTACTGTACAGGTAATTAAGTTTCTTTCATTGTTCGTCCTAGATTATATTTGTCATTTCCTTCATTACTCCAATGTTTAGAGTCAGATGTTCAAGGGTTAGGTGTAGCAAGTCGTTTGGTATAATGTAGCCAGCTGCCGCTGTGTTGCATGCCTGTGAAGCTGGTGTGTTACGCCGAAGGGCGGTTATAATTATACCGTTTATGCGGATACAGATTCAGATCCCAAGTCTTTGGTTAGTGGTGACTCACTGTGACCATTTTGTTTAAGTCTCTTGAGTGGTTGGTACAGACAGTACGCAGCAGAATTTTGAGAGGCAAGTTTTATACACCCATACACAGCTCTTTTGCTGACATGTTTTCCGTTGTTGTATTTCAGCTGGGCATCCCTGTGTGTTACCTGTTGCTATGTTACTGTTGCTAAGTTACTGTTGCTAAGTTACTGTTGCTATGATACTGTTGCTATGATACTGTTGCTATGTTCCAGCTGGGCATCCCCGTGTGTTACCTGTTTGCCACCTATACCTACAAACTACAGGATGAGGACGAGTCAAACTTCAAGGTGGCCGCCAAGTAAGGACCTGTTTTTTGTTTCGCACAACCAGTAAACTGCCTTTAGACACAACACACCAGGTTTGTAGAGTAAGTACAAGCTGTGTAAGACCAGACTGTAAGGTTTGAACCACTCACACGGGGATGGACCCCTACTCTTTTCAGTAAGTGTGGTGGGATCTTTAATGTGCTCGAGGTGTGGCTGTCTTCAAACAAAAAGCCTCCGGAAGACCCTAACCATGTCTAGGTACATAGTTTTTCCAGAGTTGAGTGAGGAAATACATTGGGGCCAGGAAGGGATTAGAATCTAAGTCAATTATAGCCCTAACTACAAGCTCTCCTTATTTGTATCAAACTGAGATAGTTATTGTTGATGTTGACATGTTTCTAAATTATTTACAGAGCAGGGACGTTTGGAGCGATGGTAGAGTATGGAGGAGAGAAGAAGATCAGCACACACAGTCGACTGGGCGCGTTTGTGTCTGTCGGGGTACCAACGGGAGTCATGGTCAAAGTCAAGTAAGTATCTGAGTGTGCATTACTAGTATGTACTTTTAGCCTCCATGGAACTAGTATGCAATCTTGCTTTTAACAATGGCGGATGATTTTTACCATAGGTTACAAAGCTTGGACACAAGTTTAGTTTATTTAATGAATCGCCGTTTATTGAATTGCACGAAAACGATCTTGTCTGACGTAATCTGTGAAAAATAAAAATTTTGTGCAGACAAAGTACATTCTGCTGACTTGAGACCAGAGAAATAAGGGCTCAATATAAGCAAACAAAACAAAGATGTGCTACATATACTGATGTGTACACATACTAATAAAATGGCATAGTTCAAATCTCCAACTCGTGTGTTTCCACAGTATAAGTATAGGGGATCCATTCCTCAAGCTAACCGACATCTCTCACACGCAGTCGTCCCTCAGTAAGACATATGGAGCTGCATGGTTCCTGTTGAGAGCTTTTATTCAGCCTGTCTTTTGTTTCCCCAGGTTGAACCGAGCGAACCAGACGTACCTGTTCCCGATCCACCTGTGCCACGAGATTGCGCCCAACGCCGTGTTCTACGGCTCCGTCGTTCCCGTCCTCGTCTACTTCGCACTAAAGAAACTCGTCATGGACCCATTCCTCAGGAGACAGAAGGAAGAGTAAGGAATTATCCTAGAAGTACATCTTCTGGACTCGAAATTCAATTTGGCAATAATTTTATTGTTTACTGGTGAAATGAAAAAGGTAAAAGCAGTTGCATAGCCTTTGTTTTGTTTTGAGGCCTCAGGGGCAGTGAGTTGTTGATCCACTGTGGCTAGGGCATGGTATTGGAAGGCAGAGCCCATCCCTCTCCTTCCACTGCCTTTTACATCCCTAACCAAAGTCAGGTACCCATTTTACACATGAGCTTAGTAACACCTACTCTTTTCTTCGTTTTTCAGAGATTTGGAGAAGAAGAAGGAATCCAGCATGAAGGAGACACTGGAGAAGAAGAGAGAAGCAGAATCAGCTGTAAGTACAATGTACATGTACGGTACCTGGTTAGCAATCATCACTCATTCATTCATTCCTTCATTCGCTGTGGAATCCAATAGTTTCAGGAGCAGGTTTTGGAATCTGGGGCAACAAATTGTACTAACTACTATTGAGTACAGATTGTTTCTCTGTTTGTCTGGACATAGTAGCTTCATTCTCTCCTTTACATCTTTGTGCTGCAGGTGAGGTTAATGCAGGCGACAGTACAGAGGATAGTAGAAGCTGAGGAGGCAAAACAAGGTTTGTCACCACTTAAGTCTTAATTTTTTTTTATAGTATTCAGTTTTGATCAGTCAACACTAAAGTCTTGCATTTGCAGCTACATAGAAATGATTTAATAATTTGTCCACTAACATTTTGGCCAGAAAAGTGAAGACTTGTTTAATGTATTCCTGCAGGCCTTGTCATTCTGAGTGCCTGGTATGGGAAACTGGTTGCCAGTGAGAACAGGTAAGTACACGGTCAATGCAGTTCACTGCAGAACAGCGTACTATAAACATTATCACAATTTCATACTTTTACCAGATGTTTTAGTCTTAAAAGTTTACAGAATGTTAAAACTATTATTTTAAAAGCACCATACATGTATGCATGATTTATTGTATATATTGACCCATAATTTGATGGTTGCCATGGTAACTTGCAGAGGGGCGGAGCCTGGGAAGGTGATTGACGTGACAGTTCCGCTGCAGTGTCAGGTCAAGGACAGTAAGCTCATCCTCACTGAGACCTCAAAGGTATGGACTAATGTACAATGTGTTACAACTTACAGTCCAAAAGAAAAGCTACTGAAAAGTAGTTCTTGTGTGTGTGTGTGTGTGTGTGTGTCCGTGTATGTGCGTGTCCATGTGTGTGTGTTGTGTGCATGTGTGTCCATGTTGTCTGTCTGTGTGTGTGCGTCCGTGTGTGTGTGTGTGTGCCTGTGTCCATGTGAGTGTGTGTATGTGTTCATGTGTGTGTGTCCGTGTCTGTGCATGTGTGTGTGTGTGTGTGTGTGTGTATGTGTGTGTGTGTTTGTGTGTGTGTGTGTGTCCGTGTATGTGCGTGTCCATGTGTGTGTCTGTGTGTGTGTGTGCATGCCTGTTTGAGTGTACACTGACTCCCCCATGCACGTGGGTTTGTTCTGTCCCCAGGCTGGGTTACCCGGGTTCTACGACCCAGCTGTGGGTGAGGAGAAGAGTCTGAGGGTCGTGTACAAGTTCCACAGTGTCATGCACGAGGTCACGGTCGAGGATGACCAGCCGCTCAGAATTCCCAAACAATGTGAGTCAAGTCGTGTTCTTAATCATATATGTTAGGGTCCATTCCAAGTCACCACGTGGGTTTTTAATCATATTTCTAATGTTTTCTAATTAGTTTCTAACACAAGAAATTTTAAACTTTCACTTGGTCCAGATGGGTTTTAAAAATCGTTAGATGTTTCAAGTAGCATTGGATGATCCACTACTTTTCGTCAGTGACTGTATCTAGTGGATTCTACTTACAACAAACATATGTGACAGTTTTGGAAATCTATCCAGTTGCTTGAGTAACAACTTTTTCTTTATTTTTTAAGTTTATAATCACTCTTACAAATCTTTTGTTGTAAATCTGACAGATATATAAGGCAGGTAGATTGCAGTCACTACAGTCTGATAGCTTTTCTGCCTTATAACTTAACATCAAAGATCTAATTGTTGCTACTTGCTCTATTTCAGCTCACAGAATTCCCGACCCCAGCTAGCAGACGTCCAAACAAGACTGTAGCTAGAAGCAAAATACATGTAGCAGCCTATGTTACACAGTAACTGTTGCTGACTATCAGCGGCTGGTTGGGCCTCCTGCCCCAATCATGTCACACCATTTCTTCACTAACAATGTAGCTCGTAATGATAATGAGATTCATTTTGGAATATTGAGTGAAAAACATACCTCTTTCTCTCAAACTTTTCTTACAGTAATATTGACAGAAATATTATGTAAACTAAGTTCTATATTGTTAAATTCTGTCACATCATGCATTGTGTAAAATGCTAAGTACATACAGCATAGTATGTACTAGTGATATTATATACATGTAGGTCGTTTCCCATGTTATTCATCATGTGAATAGAATGTTCCAAAACAAAGTTATTTAAAAGCTGTGTTGCTTTTTATTAGTTCTCAAACTCTTTTCAAACTTGTTAAACTTGTCTGTACTGGTGCAAATATCGTGTATTAAACAAATTCAATGCCATACAGTCATGTACATGTTGTGTTTGACAAAATTTAACATTTTTCCTTCATTATACAAAGTTGAGTCGCCAACTCTCCTATTATTCTTAGAAGATTAAAATGTAAAACAAAGCCTGGTGGGACAGGATTCTCTCATATCTTCAGCAGAAAGCCAAATGATAACAGTTACTGAAAGTTGATCAACTTGTCTTACACACATGTTCCATAGTAATCGGATTCCCCATGACTCGATCATACACCATCTTAGCTTGTAGTTTTGTGGAACTAGGGACTGGGTATACATGTAGTGCGAACACAGGCAGCCTGTTCCTCTCAGTCTGCTGGGCCAAGTCATAGTGGTGCAGGATTCTGTCCCTGTGGACAGATGGGCCCTGCTGGCCGTACAGGATAACCAGGTAGTAATGAGCCAGGCGCACCCCATCATGATCTGTAGGAGCTGTGTGGATGAAGTGGTCTCCCGTGCTCTTACCCAAGCGTAGGGTGGTGCCCATCTCCATTTCGTAGCCCTTGGGCCACACAATTGTGCAATGCACTACTGCAGGGGGCTAGTCTGCTGGTAATGCACTCTTTCTCATATGTGCTGAGTGCTAAGCAGAGATTCAGAAAGAAGTGTGTTTAATTTTTAAAGTCTTTGGTATGACCCGGCCGGGGTTTGAACTCACGACCTCCCGGTTACAAAGCGAGCACTCTACCAGTTGAGCTATTGCACACCATAAAAACTACACATGTGTACAGTAACATCTTTGTACTGTATTTATTTTCTGTAGCTGCTCCTAAACTTGTTAACAAGAGTTTTAGCCAAGGATTCATGGACACAATTCAGATAAACATGGTCTAAACAAGTACCAAACTAAGCTGGCAATAGAAGTACACTATAGCTGCATATTTTATATACATAATGATATCCAAAAAAAGCTCATAAAAATGACAGTGAGAAGAGATGAAGAATATAATAATCATTAAGTACTAAGTAGCTGGATCTATAACATTGTGTAAATCCAATTTAAATTTGTTGCTTCTTCCAGTCCCTTAGAGTTTCGAAAAAGAAAAAAAATGGTTACTAATAGCCAGACTCTTCCATAGTATGAAAATAAATTTTGAAGGTCTACAGAAGCTTTTTTTTTTTAATTTGTAATTTTTTAAGCGATTCAAAATGGCATTTCATAGGTGTGGATCAAGCTTGCTTATTTTTACAGGTTCTGTAACACTACATTCCATCTGGCCTGTATGTACAAATTGCTTGATATAAAAGAAACTGATTGTTCTGCTATTTCTAATATACAAGTACAAAACACCTACACTTCACCATTTTCATGAATAAACAGTGACTATAACTCTGGTTATGTATACAGTTGTCCTAGAAATCCTTTGAAAAAATGTCATCCAACATAAAACATATAATTGTAGCCTAACCTTAGTCCCAACTGTATAAAACTTCAGTATCACAACCTATCAATAACATGATCATACAAACAAGTAATATTTGTATCTTTATTATATTCTAAGTAATGCAACAACTACCACCTTTGTAAGCTAGACGTAAAGAAGTCAACTTCTTTATTCCAGACTTCTGAAACCAGCTTTCTTAAACTTTAAGTTGATGACTTTAACAAATTGTCTCGAAAACCAAAACGTCTCGGACTTTCCACAATGTGTAAAACACTGATTGCATCTGGCATGATTTTATTACACACCAGCCTTTGTTTGCAGTTTTACATGATACAGGCTGTGCCAATGCTCTACATACATTGTACCAGCAAACTACAGTACAGCTAGTATACAAGTTTGTGGGGACTAGATGTTGCAGTGGAAAGGGGGGGGGGCTCACTGTGTTGTAATTTGCAGTTGAAACAATTGGCAGTTGTAAAAGTTAAGACAATGCAGTGATGAGTTTGCAATGGGAATCCTATTGGCACTGGGTTCAACTTGATAGAATTGCAGTATTGTCCATTGCATTGAACTAAGCACTTAGTCACAAAAAAAAGGTCATATACATTCGTCAAGTTTCTGGCCAAATGAACCAGATTTACATGATTCATGATACAATTTGACTTCACATAACTACAGTAACTGCCCATCAATATTATGTTTTGATTTTTTTCTTACAACATGCTAGTCTCCATGATACAAATGCACATGTATTGCAACATGACGTGGCTACTGAAGTGGGATTTTAAATCAATTGAATTAGGACAGGGAATGTTCCCGTGTAACCATTTTGAGTCAGTTATTCCCCACTCTCAGTGAGTCTAGCTTGTCTTCAGTATTGGCATTTCTGACTTATAAACATACATATGTATGCTGTTCCAGTAACCTGTACTTAGTTCAGTGCCTAGGTCGTCTCATGGCCTTGCACTGAGCCAATCTGTTTTTAAAAAGCCATGTTTCGGTATATCTACAGTCTGATTATGCCAATTATAGATAAGAGCACTGTCACTTAATTACACAGCCACCTTTAAATTGACATATCTGCAATACAAGCACAAGTTACTGTTGTTGTGTGCATAGTTATACTACAAAATAAGTGAGAATGGGCTTTTCTTATATCTTGACTAAGAAACTAAGCCAGCCTGGGCCTTGGAATTATTAACTGTAGCTAGACTACATTTGCATATATAATACAGCATATCAACACATTTTTTTTTTTTTTACACATGCATCTGTATTGTATTAAACTCTAGTATACTATACAGACTTCATTATTTATTGTCTTACGTTTTCTCGAGTGACCAAAGTGGCAAGACTTACAAGAAGTTATTATGCAACATTGTCACAAATTTTAACTTTGATCTCATGAAACAAAGACTCCAGTTCTGATCAATCTATTTCTGACACAACAGTCTTCTTCAGTACGAATGACCCATTTTTTTGCAGGACATTTCACTATAGGATCATGTGACTCATTCAATGGCTCAATAATCAAAATTTACTGAAAGTCTTTTTCTGTGTTGAACTTCAGTTAAATTTGTGACAATTTTGGAGAAAGATAAAAGTTAGTGCATGTGACACCAATGACACCAAAATACAGCTGTTTCATTTCCTGAACACATTCATGCAACTGTAACAAGTTTTATTCAATGAGGACATGTACATGAAACTTCAGATATTACAAATCAATCGTCCAGTTCTTAATTCCTGCCTTCATGTACATGTACATGTATAATGACGCCACAGTGAGCATGGCAGTTAATTCTGAACCTAGCACCTTGGCTCGCAGAAAACATTCTTTTGAGAAGCAACCAGTCCTTAATAATCATTGCAGTTACAGAGAATTGTACATATCATAAATTGTTTTATTTTGATGTCATTAGTGTCACAATCACTACTTTAATGCATTACTAAGTCTAACTTAAGTTTCTAGACTAATAAAGTCACAACATCGGCTTGGATAGCGAGCTCGTAGAATTCACCGCGGTGAAAGCCGACGACAGAGAATTCGCGACCGAAACCTCCTTCGGGTTCCCGCTGTCACTGGGTAATAACCGTTGTCTCTGCAGTTGCCGGGCGTTGGTCTCCACGTGTTGCCGTAGCGACGACCCGACCAGCGCAGCCGTGGGGTCGCTGAACTGTGC